ATTTCCGCCCACCCAAACTTGAAAGCCAGTGCCAAGATCAACTCAACTGGGTCTAATTCTGCCCTTGCTGGATTGCAGGGCACTGCCACATAATGTAACAATCAAAGAGAGAACCACAACTCTGTTGCTGCTGCTGACTCCATGAGCTTCCCCTCAGAGATGTAATCTGTGGGCTGGGGTATGTGCTGCCAGGTCACCCTCCTGTGTTCACTCAGAGGCTCTGGCTGAGTGAGAGCTCAAGAAAATCTAGCAGGGTAGAATCCCGGTTCTGGAGTTTCTAACCCACCTAACTTTGACAAAGTTATTGAGCTTCTCTGTGCCTCAGTTTCCTCATCTGTACAGTGAGTTAATGATAGCAATCAACCTTGCACCACTGTGTGATGATTTAATAAGAACCACCATTTATGGTGGTTTAAGTGTTGTCTATAACATATTAAGTGCTCCATAAATATTAGTTTTTATTAACATACTTTGGTGTGATCTATACTCTGTCAGCAGTCAGACAGGAAAAATAAGTAAAATACAATGTAAAAAGTGCTGCAATAAAGGAATAACTTATTTGTTATGGGGCAGAAAGTAGGTTTGAGTTTAGCAGACTGGGATTTCTTATTTAAGGGAGAATCTATTTTTTAATTACAATGTTATAAATTTATTTTTAAAGGATTTAAAAATGATACTTCTGTGGTTTCTAAACTAATGACCAAAAAAGTTTTATGTGTTTCCATTAATTACAGTCTCCCTACTTAAGTATCAATTTTAATATGTAGTTTTTCCTTTTGGACAACAGTCAATGAGTTTATTTATTATTTATTTTAAAGTTAATACTTTTGGTAATATGAGTAAAAGAAAGCATTTTTTCAGTTTGGGACAGAAGCTTATTTTCCATGGTTTATCAAAGCAGAGTTGGAACAGCAACCAAAGATACTGAGCCAACAAGTTTCATGAGCATAAATAAATATATTTGTTGTCACAAATCTGAAACAACTAAATGGTGTGGTAATGGAACGAAGCTAAAGACTCTTCAGAATAAATTGCAAATAACTATTTGACTTATAAAGAACCACTGAAGGGAAACTTTCCAATATAATGATGCTATTTTCCTGCCTTCCATTTAAGCCAGGAAAGAAAAACTACCTCAAAGAATGTTAAAGAAGGTATAGTCTGAAAGAAGGATATCATGCAAGGACATCTGGCACCTACTTGTGCTTTCTCCAAGTGGACTGAAATTCAGAATAATATTTTGTCATAAAAATAAAAAATGCTGGACAACCTTCTAATATACAATTTTAGATTATATTGATGTGTGCTACTTTCTTTCTTCATTTACATTAAATGGATATTTGGATGACTAAATCTTTGAATATACTAACTGAAGAAAACTTCTCTTTGGATGTGAAGAAATAGTTTACTCCCTCAAAGAACCATTTTTCCCACTGCACAACAGAATGAGGAAAAGATTTTGGAGCCAGACTGGCCCAGTAGAAATAAGACTTGACTTCAGGAGGCCTGAGAGGCTTAAACTAATCTGAGACCATAAATGAGTGAAGAGGGAAAATAATTGATTTTCCTTTAGACAGACAGACACACACACACACACACACACACACACACACACACACAAATGAGTATTCCTTTATGGTCTGGGCTCAGATTCTTACATAGGAAAATCCACCCAACCAATGATATAAAACAAAAGAAGTCTCAATATAGAAACTTTTCATGTGTTTCAGACATTAACTTAAGAGATGAGTGCGACCCCTCCGTTTTTTCTCATTTTTTTATAAACTATGTATGTCCAAACTTAAATTTTCAGCAGAACAAGCCTGTCAGGATAAGATTTTAGCTACGAAGATATCGCAATGAACAAGCTGAAGACAGTTCTTTCTTTTAAATAGAGAGGGAAGGTCCCTGACCTCAAAAGTATTACTTGCAGATGAGCAAAGAAGACTAATGACACAAAGATCTAAAAATGCCAAACTGCACTTACTATTTATATTCTTTGTTTCTTAATGGTAACCAGAGCAAAATAAGATTATTAAGAAAAGAAAAAAAATCAGATAAAGGAAAAATTCCCATAATATGCGACAATGGCCTCTTTCCAAATAACAATTTAACTTATGGCCCCACATTTTAGCTTCTTTTTGGATGTTCAACCCAAGTTAAGGAAATTAAATTGTTATCCACCATACTCCCAATTACTCAACATACATTTTTAGGAGCTTGCGACAGATATAGCAGGAACAGTTCTAGGCTTGGGGATATGGCAATAAACATGACCGAGTTTTCGCCCTCAAGATCTTACCCAAGTGTTGGGAATGGGACGGTCAACCAACAGATATCCACCAAAAAAAGAGTAATGCAATTTTTTAAAGTTAATAATCTCACTTTGCCGCTAATGCTGCCACCATTTCCCCAAATGACTCAGATTCAAAACACTGGTTGGCTTTCTTATTTCTGAACAGACCCAGAAACTCAGACAGAAAAAGATTTTAGAAAATTTCATTGCTATATGAACAGAAATCTAATATGTGTCATAAGAGGAACAGAAAGGACATCATTCTTATGTAAATCTTCCAGTACTATTATATTTTATGTTCACATTGTAAACTACAAAGAAAACTAAAATATCTTACCTTTGACAGTTGATCAAAAGTAATTGCTATGGTTACATTTTTATTTAGGGCAAATACTAACTTTAAATTTATGTCAACATTTTTACACTGACACTGTATAAACCATACATAAACTGACTATAATTCAAAGCTGTCACTGAGTGTAGCAATAGTTTATAGTCTTTCCACACACATTATGCAACCAATTACATTAAATAGTTTTATGTAAGGGAATACCACTTGATCTTTTATATAAAAGAACCCTATTACTTAAGGAAAATTGATAATAGTTACTTTTAAGACATATCCAAATAAATATGACTTACACAAAGTAAAGGCTTCATAAAACCTTTAGTTTTCACATTCTAATCACCACTTCATCCAATTCTGCTATTCCCCACCAATCCCAAATATTAAATCACATAATTCTTTCTGGGCAATGGCTAAGTGGATTTGGCGGCCTGGACAGGAAGTAAGGAAGGAGAGGACTGGATTCAGGCTCTGGGTGGTGCCTACATTACATCAACAGCCCCCTTTCCTCAAGAACACAGACAAGTGTGAAGAAAGAGTTGCACTGTCTCTCTCCAAACTCTGCCTTGGCTCTATATGTTGTTTTGATGAAATGTGATGTGGAAAAGGCTCATTCTATTTTCAGCTAAGAAGAAATACATTGTTTGATGATTAATGGAAATGTCACAACCACTTTCATCAGTCAGTGGCTCTGCCTTCTCACCTACAATCAAACACTGTCTTTGTTCCTAAGTCTACCAACCTTGGATCTAGTCTGGATATTATTTCAGAAGTAAAAAGTGAAGCATAATGACAAAAGGTTGAGCCATATACAACCAACCCCCAAACAAACCAGGGAGGAAAATATGAGAAGTAGCAAAGATATAGCAGCATAGCCCAGACATTTCCACATTGAAAAACATGAATTGCATATAATTACAGAGATTACTTTAGAGTAGATTAGAAAGGCAGTAAGCCAAATAGAAAATATAAAATGATACATGTTCCCTAGGTTCATGGAATTATAATTTCTGGTGTGGGAACCATACCATGTACATGTCTGTACCTCTTGTCCAATAAAATAGTTCATATTCCTGTTTGTTTCTTATAATTTAAACTTTAGATTTTTACCTTTTCACACTGTTTTTTTTTTTCTGCAGAAAGGGATAAAACTTTTTATAACCAAGCAACAAAAAATAACCCCTAAGTACTGACTTTTGGAAAGGAAAGAAGAGAAGACTTAATTATGTACACTAAAAGACGATTTTAGTTACTGAAGGTAAATGGGTCTAAATAAACTTGTGATGATTTCTTCACAGGAAGCAATTATAAAATATATTTGCTACTTTTAGTTTACTTAACTCAGAAAACGTTCCCAGATAAAATCATAACAGGCATATGGAATGAAGTTCAGATTTACTGAATTTCCCATGTAAGTTCAGATTCACATTTTTCCATCTCAGGTAAGCTAGAGTGCCAAAAACAAACTTCTGAAATAATTTTTTTCTAAACTTTGAGTAGATACGAATGCTTACATCACAAAATAATGAAAATAGGCATAGTATTTATCTTAAGAAAATTATCTTAATTGGAATAAAGTGATTTAAGTAATCATTCTAAAGATAAACATATTTAGATATTTCAATACTGTTAATAGTATCAACATTACTCTAAGTATCCATGTTAGGAAAGCTAGACACCTTTAGTAGCTTCTTGAACTTTGTGACAATGATAAAGCTTTGGGTCACACATAATTATAACAAGTGATTTTATTCTGTATGAAGAATGCTTATGGAGTGCACACTTCAAAATTATACTCAATTCACATTCAGTATCATAATCACAGTCCAAAAGATTATTAAGTTTTTCATATTTTTATTTGAGTAAGCTATTCTTTTGCAGAGTACCTGCTGTGGTAATTTCCCAATTCTCCCCGAATCAGTTATACTGGTTTTTTAATTTGGCAAGCAGCCAAGAAACAATATTCAATACAAAATTCAAAACACTTATTTAATAATATAGAACAGAGTGCCAACTTCCAATGCATCTTTTTACATTGGACACTGTACTTCACTCAGAATTTCAATCTTTGGTATAATTTTGTAAGTGAACTACAGAATCACACTATTAAGGAAAAATATAAAGGGCTGGATTATTCCCATTCCGACTACAACAGAGAAACTGAGATAACAAACCCTTTGTAAAATGTTCATTGTCTCTTTCCAGCTCAAAAACATTAAATACACAAACTGATATAAAACCACTCTAACATATATCCCTTCATTCTCACATTATATTATGATTAAATTCTTCAAATTCTAAATGAAGTTATGACTTTCTTGGATTCAGAGTCATGACCCTCCAAGTATAGACACTCACCTTCACACTTCTGAGTGGTTTCACTCTGCTTGTGACCAGCAGGGCATTTGCATTCAAAAGAGCCCACTGTATTGATACAGTTTCCTCCCTGGCATATCCCAGGAATCGCCTGGCATTCATCAACGTCTGCAAGAAGAAAGCACTGTGAACAAAAATATCACTAACTTCCAGAATATCTACACCGATTTCTTTAATGTAATATATAGAAAAAGATCAGTTGTTCTCAAGAGCACGGTGTAAGGGGAATTGGGGACTACTTTGTATACATATATTTTAATTCATATAAATCATGTGTTATAGATCTCATTTCGTTCTTGTTATTTTCTCTTGGAATTTATTTTTTATTAAAAAAATCCATCCCTATTGTTATGTGGACAACCAATCTCTTGCTTTGATTTGTTACAGAACACTTCTGGATGTGTTCACTCTCCTGGTGATGGGTACTCAGTCTACCTCCGTCTTCTCCCCACCAACTTCTCCCCACCACAGGGCATGATACAGTAGAAGTCTCTACCATGTCTCTCTCTTTTTTTTTAAGATTTTATTTATTTATTTGACAGAGAGAGAGAGATCACAAGTAGGCAGAGAGGCAGGCAGAGAGAGAGGGGGAAACAGGCTTTCTGCTAAGCAGAGGGCCTGATGCGGGGCTCAATCCAAGGACCCTGAGATCATGACCTGAACCAAAGGCAAAGGCTTAACCCACTGAGCCACCCAGGCACCCCTCTACCATGTCTCTTTATGTAGTTGAGTAACTATGGACTATGAAAACTCAGACTTTGCATCCCTTTGCTCTAGACCCAGAACAGAATTACTAAATCACAGAATATGTATATGAATGTGTGTATATATATATACATATATATGTATATATATTCATTCAATATGAATAAACAGTGCCCAAGAGTCAAAATGCCTTCATCCCACTAGCAATCCATATACCTACAAGTATTTCACAAACCTTTATTATCCATGAGGATTCTTGTGGCTTTTTTTTCCCCTGCTAATACATGACATAAATATGCAAGATCCTAATTTTCTTTGGTCTAATAATTATAAAGGGATATTAATTCTAGTTTTCACTTCTTTAATTACTAACCACCATGTGTGTTAGCTTTTAAATTTCTCCATCTGAAAGTTGTCTGTATCCCTTAAGCATGGTTATCTTGAATTTGTCATATTCTTTTTTCTTCCAAGTTTTTAATTAAATTCCATTTAGTTCACATAACATTTAGTTTAGTTTCAGATGTAGAATTAAGTAATTCAAAACTTATGTACATCACTTGGTGCTCATCATAAGTAGACTCCTTAATCCCCCTCCCCTATTTCACCCATCTCCCCACCCACCTTCCCCCTCCAGTAACCATCAATTTGTTCTCTAGAGTTAAGAGTCTGTTTCTTCATCTGTTTTTTCTTTTCCTTTATTCATTTGTTTTAGTTCTTAAGTTCCACATGAGTGATATAGAATTTGACTTGCTTAGCATAATATTCTCTAGCTCCATCTACATCATTGCAAATAGCAATATTTTGTTCTTTTTGATGGCTGAGTAATATTCCATCACACACATATATACACACACACACACCCCACTTCTTCTTTATCCATTCATCAATCAGTGGACATCTAGGTTCTTTCCACAATTTAGCTATTGTTGATAATGCTACTATAAACACTGGGGTACATGTATGCTTTGAATTAGTAGTGTCACACCCTTTTTCTAAATTGAAAACCTTAAACATGGCAATTATCTTCCATATCCTTTAAGCTATTAGTTTTATCCATTTAGGAACCAAAAATCTTTATATTGACAAATGAAATCCAAGCAACAGTAATAAAGATTTTCAGACAAATAAAAGTTAAGGGTCTACAAGAAACGTTAAAAGAAGTTCTTTAGCAGAAGGGGCACTTGAGTGGCATAATGGGTTAAGCGTCCAACTAGTGATCTCAGCTCAGGTGTTGATCTCAGGTTCGTGACTTCAAGCCCTATGCTGGGCTCCAGACTACTTAAAAAAAAAAGTTTTTCTTCTTTTAGTAAGATGAAATTATGAGATGAAAATTATGGTCTTGGGGCGCCTGGGTGGCTCAGTGGGTTAAAGCCTCTGCCTTCAGCTCAGGTCATGATCCCAGGGTTCTGGGATCTAGCCCCGCATCAGGATCTCTGCTCAGCAGGGAGCCTGCTTCCTCCTCTCTCTCTCTGCCTGCTTCTCTGCCTACTTGTGATCTCTGTCTGTAAAATAAATAAATAAAATCTTTAAAAAAAAAAAAAAAGAAAATTATGGTCTACACAAAAACCAGAAAGCACTGAAAACAGTAAGCATGTTGATAAATTTAAAAGACCTATTTTCAAATAAACTTGAAGATAACTGGTTGTTGAAAAGAGCAACAGCAAAATAATAGTAATGTATTTTGAAGATTATAAAATGCAAAGAAGTAAATAGTATAACCACAATAGCTAAAGGATTAAAGGGGGACAGAAGAATACTGTTGTAAAATTATTACATTATAACATTGTAAGTGAAGTGGCATAATATTATTTGAATATAGACTATAGTAAGTTATATATAAATACGATCACTAAATTTGTGATTTTTACATAAAGCTAACATTTTATAATGTTAAAGAGATGGAGCTAGTGATCCAATTATGGGAGATAAAATGAAATACTAAAATATACTCACTCTAATAGAGGGAGGCAAAGAGGAATAAAGAATAGATGGGACAAAAAGACAAAAAATGGTAAGATACAGATTTAAAAATCAATAATATAATATTATTAATATAATATATAATATAATAATATTATATAATATAATAATAGGAACTATAAATGGTATTAGTAATTCCATTAAAAAGCTTGAGATTGCGATAATTTCTTATTTATTTATTTTTAAAGATTTTATTTTTTGTTTGATAGAGAGAGCAGGAAAGCACAGGCAGGGGAAGCAGCAGCAGGAGAGGAAGAAGCAGGACCCCTGCTGAGCAGGAAGCTTGATGTGGGGCTTGATCCCAGGACCCTGGAATCATGATTGGAGCCGAAGGCAGTCGTTTAACCAACTGAGCCACCCAGGTGCCCCCACAACTGATTTTTTTAAAAGATGCAATTGTATATTGCTTAAAAGATACTCACTTTGACAGAGATAGCTCAAAAAGAAAAAGATGAAAGGATGTATCATGTACTTAAGATGGAATCGGGAGGGAGATAAGCCATAAGAGACTCTTAATCTTACAAAATCAACTGAGGGTTGCTGGGGGAGAGGGTATGTGCAGAGGGTGGTTGGGTTATGGACATTGGGGAGTGTATGTGGTATGGTGAGTGCTCTGAAGTATGTAAGCCTGATGATTCACAAACCTGTACCCCTGGGGCAAATACTATATTTTAATAAAAATAATAAATAATAAAAAAAGATGTATCATGTACTTAAATCAATAGAAAGCTGAAGAGGCTAAGTTAATATTATACAAAGTAGTCATCAGAACAAGAACCATTACCAGGGATATAGATGGATATTTCATAATGACAAAGGGGTTGATTCATTAAGAGGACACAATAATGTACAATGTGTATATGCTGATTTTAAAATATTAAGCACCCAGAACAAAAAGTGACAGAACTGAGAAAAGAAAGAGACAAATCTACAATTATAGTTGGACATTTCCATATTCCTTAGTAACTGACAGACCAATTAGACTGAAAATCAGCAAGGATATATAAGACTTAAACTACACTTTCAACCATCTTATCCTAGTTGACATTTATAGACCACCCCACGCAACCTTAGCAGGATATACGCCATTTTCAAGAGCAAATGGGATATTTTACCAAGACAGACTATATTCTGAGGCCATAAAAAAGGGTCATTAAACATAAAAAATTAAAAATCATACATAGTGTGTTCTCTAAACACAACAGAGTTAAACAAGAAGTGAATAATAAACACCTGGAATATCCTCCAACATTTGGAATTTAAATAATATACTCTGAAATAATCCATGGTTCAAAGAAGAAATCACATGAAAAATGAGAACAGAACATATCAAGATTGGTAGGACCCAGCTAGAGTGGTGCTTAGAGATAAATATGTAACATTAAAATGCTTATTTTACAAAAAGAACAATGTCTAAAATTGGTTATCTAAGTTGTTAGATAAAGAAATTTTAAGAAGAGCGTATTAAACCTAAAGTAGACAGAAGCAAGAAAACAACAATAATAATAATAATAATAATAAAATAGAACAACTGTCAAACAGAGATGATTAATCACTACAAAACCCGGCTCTCTGGAAATACAAGTAAAACTAGATCTGTTAAGACTGATAAAGAAAAAGGAGAGAAGAAATGAATGATGAATAGTAAGGAATAAAAGTGGACACAGCAATACAAATTCCACAGAGATTAGAAGGATCAAAGGAAATAATATCAACAACTTTATGGCACTAAATTCAACGATTTAGAAAACTCAAGAACAGATCATCTGAACAGACCTACATCTGTTAAAGCTAATTTAATTCATACTTGAAAATCTTTGCACGAAGAAAACTTTAGGTCTAGGTGGCTTTACTGCTAAATCCTTTCAAATACTTAAGAGAAGTAAGTAATTAGTAAGATACATAAAATTATTTTAAAAAAAAAAAGATTTCATTTATTTACTTGACACAGAGAGAGAGAGTGCATAAGTAGGAGGAGTGGCAGGCACAGGGAGACTGAGAGGGAGAAGCCAGCCCCCCGCTGAGCAGATAGCCTGACATGGGGTTTGATCCCACTAGACTGAGATCATGACCTGAACCTAAGGCAGAAACTTAACTGCCTCAGCCACCCAGGCATCCCTGAACAAAAATTCCTGCGGAAAAAGACAACAGGGGACACCAGTCTACCAATTGTATTTGGTTAGCATTACCCTGACCCTAAAGCTAGACAAATGTATTACAAGCAAAAAAACAATAACCAAAAAACACAATAATATATTTTTGGAATAGATACACAAAAATTTTTTGCAAGGCAACTTCAGCAATACATAAAAAAATTAATACAATCATGACCAAGTGAGGTTAATCCCAGGAATTTAAGGTTGCTTCAACATTCAATCAGTATAATGTGTTATATTAACATGTTGACCAAGAAAGAGAAAGCA